TGCATTTCGAGAGTGCGCTTGGAAAACAAGAGAATTCTGTAGAACAGTTTTGCCACAACAAATGTAAATCATGCATAGCGACTATTTGCATTACATCTCAATAACTTAGCTCAAGGGGGAGTTATTACGGCTAAATAGTGATCATCACTTCCTTACACTTCCACAATATCTGTGCAGATTCACAGACACTTCCCGAACTTCTGCAGTGCTTAAAACATTAGTTTTCCTAATTTTCATCTCCGCTTTTCGAAACTTTATAGATTTTTTCAACTGCCAAATTTTTTTTTTTTTTAGAAATATTTGAAGTTTCAATCACTGTTGTGAATGTTTTTCGGAACATAACCTAGAAATTAACTTGATATATCAAAAAGAATTTTTGAAAGATAATTAATCGAAATCAAAAATGAGATTTGCAATTTTAGAGTAGAAATTCAATTAAATAATTCTTGAAATATACAATTTTTGTATTATGGAACAATATTTTTAGAGGTTATAATCAATCTTAAAGAAATTAGGACTTTTTAATACTGAATGCTTGTGAACTACATCAGATTTCACTTAATATTATATTAGTAAATTGTAAATTATATCAGCTTAAGCACAAAAAGGATTATTTTTGTGGTTATTTAATGGCAAAGTCTGTCTTAAATTAATCACAAAACCTAGAAAAATCTGAAGAACAATTTTTTCTTTAATATTGAGTTAATTTCTTTAAGAAAGGTAACCTTTGAACGCATCATAATAAATATATTCAAACACTTCCACTTTCAAATACTTCTACTGGACTTTACACCACTTCTGACCTTAAAATCACCGCCTTGACAAAGCCTAATGTGAAAGCGCATCATTTTCAATTGTACCCAGAATCTTCTCTGGCCTTTCACATTAACACACAGTGTTGGATTGAGCTATGAAACCGCATATCGTCCTTTCAATCTGCAAGTGACCCATTTCGTATGTGCATTTCATCGGGCGCAGTTGAACTGCTGCGGCGGAGTGATCCTTTGATATCAATCCCACGCCATGCGGCACAGAGAATATCAAATATCCTTGCACATCCCTCGTGGTTGTACGCACACCTCTTTCCACTGTCACATATGTATTAGATGTGTGGTATTTTGTCATTGTTGACAATTCTATGGACATTCCCTCGAGTATTGAGAAACCGTTCCGTGTTTTTAATTTATCTCAAAACTATTATGTTGAGCTTTTTCTCTTCCTGCCATGCGCCCATTGTGCGTCGCTCCTCCGAATCTCCGTCACATTCTATACCAAATACTAATTTGAGGGGAGAATTTTTTTGTGTGTTCGCTGAGAAAAGAAAAGAATCTTTCGAAACCCCCGAGAGAAATCCCAAAAAAAACCCACACTGTGAAATATGCGGGGATTCTATAGAAAATTCAAGAGTTAATTTCACAATTCATCTTCTCATCTTTGTCCTCATCTTCTGCGCACTTTTCACCACTCCAGCTTGAGTACTGTGCAAATAGCAACTTCAGCCGGAAATATGGATACGATTGAAGAGGAAATGAACTCTCCACGAGATTAATTACAGTTCCAGAACTTCATATTGTTGCACTTTTCCACTCAAGAGTCCTTCAAGTCGATGAATCTCAAACTCACGAATTTTCGAATAAACAATTATTGTATTAAATTACATTTACTCCATTGTGGAGAGTCGCACGCAATTTTGATTAGAGGTTATAACTCCGACGTGTGCTTGGAAATCAAACAGTTTGCCTTGTGCTTACACGTTTTGGATTTCCTCAAACATATTTGCACAGGATGTTCTCTTCAAGTTGAACCTCTGTTGCCATTAAATCTGTAAATTGTTACACTTGTCCGGAGAATCAGTTTATTTAATCCACCCGACATTGGCTATTGTCTGGCAGAAGTATTTCACCCTGTGGACGAGAAGAAGTATATCTAAAAGTTTTCCACCCTCTCGAAAATTCTCATTATCTTCATGCTTTTCAAAATATTAAAACATATATTACATGGTCTCATGTTGACTGTATAGATTGCAATTTACCCTCGAGTGTTTACTCTCCGGTTGATCTTATGTATTTGATGAGACTCCATAACATGGAGAATTTACTCGTGGTCATCAGGAACATATGAGGCACTTGTGTGTACAAATTGAGAAAGTATCCATTACGGAAATTAAAGCCACTTTTCACTCCCATCTCAGCGCCATATTCACCCAAATCCATACATTTTCCCCGAACAACTATTTAAATATTGAACTCGAGGCCACTCCACTGTTTCGGTGTGTACTCAAAGCAAATTTTCGAGAGATTATTTATCTGCAGAGACGCTCGCACTTCTCATCTAGCATCCTGGCGGCAGGATATAGGGCATGAGTTCATCCTCGTAGATATGTCATAAATTAGAAGCACGGAGAATTGTAAATCCCGAAAATAAATATCAAACCACGGCACTCGAAATTAATCCCAAAGTCGTCCAAGCGCGTAATTCTTCTGCGATCATGTGAGTTTTATATGCAAACTATACATTCACCCACTTCCACCCAACTAGACACGTGTCTGCAGCATTCTTGGCGCCAAATACGTCTTCTCTCTCTCTCTCTGCTCGCCTTTGTACTGCTCCGTGACGCCCTCCACCCCCTAAACTACGCACACCACGCACAGAAATGCTAGTTCAAGCCATCCCTTCAGCCCTGAACACTCCCTGGGAGGTGTGGAGAAATGAAATTATGTGTTTCTTGCACGAGATTTATGATAATCGATTCGCAACAAGCAAAATAAATCTTCGGAGAGAAACTTTTCTTGCTGTGAAATGCGAAATCTGTGTGAATTGGCATTTTAAATCACTTCCACACAATTCGAAAACATCCACCGACAAAACCAGACGCGAGGGTGATGACATATTTTAAATATATTTAGAATGGAAGCTTTCGGAAGACTCCTGAACTCTTGCTGGTCGTCTTGATGGCGAAGAATAGCATTTGATATTTGGGTCAATTTGCCACAAAACAAGATTGAAGCCAGATTGGAGTGTACTTTGAGCATTCATACACAAGTGTTGTGCAATTAAATGTTTGGCGGTTGACGAGAAGTTTCAGCTGAATTGGAATGAAATTAGAATGTCAAATAGACTCAGCGAGACAGCGCAGGAGTGCTTCAAAGATGAATAAATTAAAATAAATTATTATTCATATTTGTTCATGTAATTAAACATATCCATAAAGCCAGGAAACACAATACTGAAATCAGAGATGGAAATCAACCCTTATTTACTGTTTACAATCTGACTGTTGCAGATCTGTGACATTTCATAATTAAATTTGATTTGTTCTCTGACAGATTTTTAATTATAACCCTCCCACGCATCAGCCAGAGCTGCAGTTGGGGTTTCGATATAAAAATACTACCCTCCGTCGGGAGCTGTGAGCTCATGTGAGCGCTAAAACACACATGAATCTTCCATTTGGGCTCATCGTTTTAAATATTCAAGGGGAATTCTGGCCTAGTTGCTCGATTTCTTTCCACGAAGCGGAAATTCCGGCACCCTCCGTCGTGTATGTCACACACAATCACTCGCCCTCCATCTTCCAGCCGCAAATCCTCATCCCCTGGCATCGCCAGATTCGAGAAGTGTGCGTTGATCAACTCGCTGCGTAGGACAAATGGAGAAATCATGTAAAATTGGGGTCCACATTCGATCAGAAATTGGAATTCTCAATATATGTTCGCCTTAAGTACCGTGTGAATTTACCAGAAGACATCTTCCGTGATATATTGCTCACTGGCAAGTGTTACAAATTGTCAATAACAAGATGCATTGATGGCGAGGGGGGAGAAAAAAAAACACGCACACTCAAAAGGAAAGGCAGGAATTTCTTGGGAGTTCAAGTATCAAGTGTGGTTTTTTTAGTTTGCAAAATGAACTCGGAGAGTTCCGTTAATAGAGAGACGCGGAATAAAAGAGAAATTCCAACAAAATCAACGCAAGCACGGTGATTCCCAGACATATTCTTAGGTGATTCACACCACGACAAATACCCCACATGTAGGCAAAGCGCAAACCGCGATACACGTTTGCATTTGAGTGAAACCGTCGCTTTTTTATTCGCAAGAAGTCCCAGAAGATGAAATCAATTTATCACGAAATATGTTTTTCCCCTTGCACATATGAAATTATGCGAGATACAGTTAAAGGGGGATCCCTATTCACTTCTCTTCACTCCTTTTTTTCCACTGACTGAGCACACTCAATATTAATACAGTACGAAAATAGGTACACTGCATGACTATTAATCAGACTCGGCTTGCATTGTCGGGTACTTTCAATCAGGGGAAATCGATAAAAACTCGCAGATCTGTTTTCATGTGTCAGATTCTCTCTGGGGATAAATGTGGAAAATAGCGCGGGGAGAATAAATCCTGAAAAATTGTTTGGCTTTGTGCTGAAGCACAACAAGAGATGCGACTATAAATTTATAAATGGACAGTTCTCCAAAGAGACACTCCACCGAGATGCATTCCTGAATACCAAATTGATATTTTCGCGCACATCCTAAACACTCTATTATCCCTGTATTACTGTCACCTCCAACAGACGCCCATAATTCAATATCACATTGAGATATTAAAGAGATTACATCGCAGACACGTTCAAAATGAGAATCCCTAAATATATCGATGAATCCCATTGTAATAACATTCTCCAGTGTGTAAAAATAAACTATCGAGAGAAACCTTGCTACGTTATCAACACTCTTTCTGCTATCAGCAAATTTTATATGTGTGTACATAAAAAATGCAAACATTCTCTTAATTATCGCACACATTCTTGCTAAATCAAATGCAAAAAATACAAAACAATCGCGAGATAAAGATGCGAGACAAGTAAAACCATCTTCAGCGACGGGGATTCCCTTCCAAGACATTCCCAGCGTCAATCTATCGCTCTCAGGTCAATCTGCAGCGTATATAACACGCGGCTCCACCAGAGACAGTCATTCAGAAGAAATCAGCAGTTGTGAACAGATCTCAGTGCTCTCAAAGTGCCACGCTAGTCGAATAATCGCTATGAATTTCACAAAGTATTTCATCTTGGTGCTCGTCGTTCTGGCTGTCTTCAGCGCTGGAGCCGAAGGAGGATTTCTGAAAAAGCTGGGCAAGAAGATTGTGAGTATTCGCGAGAGAATTTGAGAATTATTGAGAATTACTGAGTAATTAAATTTGCAGGAAAAAGTCGGCAAAAACGTCCACCGTTCGGTTGAGAAAGTCCTCCCAGCGGCTCAAGGTGTTATCGGCGTTTTGGGATCAGCGAAAGCCCTTGGAAAAAAATAAGATTTATTCCCATGTAATCATAAGCTCTCAATCTGTACTACAACATTATTTATATGACAATAAAGTAAGGTATTTGTAATCGTAGCATGCAAAAGTCTCTGTGATTGCCCCCGAAAAGTGAATGGCGTGTGGGAGAAATTATAGACGATTATGAGGAAATTAGATGGCTAAAAGCATCATAAAAAGTACCACATTACGATGCAACTATAATCCTTTAATAGCCTTATCTTCCGCCGATCTGAATTATAATTTATCATTATTGCTTTATGCAATAATTTATGTTTATGGCCAGTTCGAGGGTTAGAAGAAGCGGAAGCAGATAGACGATGTTCAAGGGATGAATTTGGGTCGTCAATTCGGAAAGATTGATTGACACTTTGGCGCGCTCAACTGACCAGAAAAAGTATGCTGGAGGGTTGATTCCGTACGGGTTTTGGAGTCTTCGGAGGGATTTGTGAATTTTGATGGTTGAGTCAACAGAATCGCACAAGTGAATTAATTACACATCCGTTGATTCACCGAGAGTGAACTCCGTGCAGATTACTGAGGGTTGGGCGGGATAAATAAATTTCTATATCATGACACAAAATGGTTAATTGAATATAGCATTGGCTGCGATGTCGTCTCGGCACGGGAGTTGCTGAGCATGGGACAGAACAGAACACCCACTCAGCCGGATAAATGAGGCGAGGGGGCGACAGTGGTCTCATGTAAACATGCTTCTTCCACCATTTGCGCCACCATCAGCAACAGAAGCCAAAGACAAGGAATACGCTTTCAATTAAATTTACGATGTTTGACACCCGGAAAGGCGTTCTACTGACGACGCTGTTATGCGGTTGAGTGCCTCAAAGGGTGAGGGTGGTCGCGTCTAAATCTGGGTGTGCGACTCACGAAATCCGCCCAAGTTCGCTCGCACAACATCCCTGTCCTTCCCGCACACTGTTTAGATTATAAATTTAATGACATTTGGCTTTATTTGGCATTTCACTAATTCGCTAACATCGTGTTAACAATCCACGGATCCTCGCAAATAATCCACCTCGTCAAGTGCAAGAGACTCCCAAAATCTACGCTTTCTCTTACCAAAGCACGGTGGGATCATAAATTACAAATCCACAAAATCGTCAAGGAATTTCCATATCTTCTGCACGCACATTAGAATCACAGCCGAATCATCACCTTATTGTGCTCACTAAGTGTCGAAGGAGGTTCTTTCGGCAATAACCGTCTAATTATTTGTCAGATAAACTTCTAGGTCGTGTCAGTAGTTACTTGCCTCATTACTAACATCCTATAAAGAAAATGAGAAGAACGTGACTTTTGCGTGAAAGAATCAGGCAAAGAGGCAGAGCTGAATTAAGAAATTACTTCTGCAATTACACTTGTCGGATCAAAGGAGCAAAAGGTGACGAAATGAAATTTTCCACCCGACTGAGAGCCATTCATTTTGGGGATGCTTTCCATTTTTGATGAGACCACCGCACTGCACATAATCTCAAATGAGATGAACCACCCTCCGTTCGGCGGAAAAGTCCCACATGAAAGGTGGGATTTTAAAATTTTTCACAAAAAGCAAATCCCCTGCATCTTTTTCCTAATGTAAATACTGCGGGCTGGAAAATTCTCCACTCCAATTTATCAATTTGCGTGCAGTTTTCATCCGTCTCACCATTATCCCAGCGTAATCACGTTTCAATATTTTTCTTTCATGTCCTCAACTTCAATTTGCCGTTGAATTATGTTATGGTTCCGCGCTCTGCTCTAAATCGGTTTGAATTTTAAATTAGTTTACCGTGCTTCCACCGTAAAGGAGTTCACCTTTTGATTTCCAATCCTCCCGGCGGCCCCACTGCTCTTCCACAGCATCACCGTAGGAAGTTCTTTTCCTTTTCTGAAAGGGAAATATCGTCGCGATGTCATTCATTACTGCATTGTTGTGTGGATGAGAAGGGGAGATGCCGAAGGAGCAGCACAATGCCATGAGGAAGGGAGTACCAAGTGCCGAGTCCCATAAATTTGGAAAACAACGCAAATAACCAAATGGGAAATTCTGTATTACATTTTAGGGGGTGGATTTTCCTTTATATGACTTTTGCGCGCGTTCGCCTGAGAATTTGGGGAATGGATTTGCACGAGAGCGGAGACAAATCGAATTTTGCCCAAAATTAAATTGATATCAATTTCAGGTCCTTTGGTGCATCCTGTTCTCCTCCGATTCCAACCCCCCCATCAGACTTTCCACTTCACTCCCACATTCACCCCACCCAAAAGGCACTCACAATAGAAGACAATGTGATGATGAGAATGGTGCCTCCTTGAGACGTTTCCACTAAAAGATAAGGACTCTCCTGCCCTGTCTCTCCTTCATCCTTCCTCCGGGATACAACACTCAAGTTTCCATCTACACAATACGAAACATCCATAAATTTCCACAGTGATTTACAATGCAATTCACAAAACTATTTGCCAAAACTTGAAATGCGATTCGCCGAGAGTTTCACCCTCCTTGTCTTAGGGATGTTGTTTAATTAAAAGAGCAAAATAAGAAATGAATATATTAATTCGGGAGAGTAGAGATTTGGCGAGCGCGAAATTTGAATATTTACCCTCTTGTTTCTGCGCTGAATAGAAGAAGGGGTGAGAGCGGGTTGGTGTCACTCCCCATTTCACCCATTCAGTGCTGTCAGCCTTTTTGGATCGAGATGAAAATTCGGGTGAATTAAATTAATCGGCTGAATTAAAATGCACTAATTGAAAGACACCACGTTAGTCCATTTGCATAATTCTGATATCAGTGAAATAAAATTCAAAATGCGAATTTATGCCCAATTGATGGAAATTATTTAATTTTGCAACAGTTTTTTTCCTGTTCTGTTTTTCCCCTTCTATGAGAAAGTCTAATTCAATTAGATGATCCAGAGAAAGAGGAGTGAATTTTCCTGATGAACATTCTAAGTCACGAATTTACAGGCAAAAAGAGGAAGAATTCACTGAGGAAAGGTTGATTAATTTGAATTAGTCGAAGAGAATTAGAAATTCGATTATGATCACACTTTAACCGGAAAATGGTAATTGAATTCGCGTACTCTGGCAAGACGTGGACAGAACATGAAACTAAGTGGATTTTGGGAAATAATTTATACGCTTTTGAGAGGAATTTACGACATATTGAAAGCGTCTCAGATCAACGACTCTCCCTTACACTTATTTATTTTTATAGTCGAGGGAAAATTGCTGTCTTTGGACATTAAGTGGGTATTTTGGTGGCTATAGTCGACTTAATAAATCACACAAATGGATAACACACTTTATAACTTAATAGTTACAATAGTGCCAGAGAGTATTGCAAAGTATTTCCAGTCATTCTTTGCCAGAGTAATGTGTTATTTACTCCATTGCTCTCTCCTAACATTCTCGTGTAAATTTCAGCAACAGACACACTCACGAGCCACACAAACACATCAAGTATGTGAATGGGATTCTCGTATCAATTTGCCAGGACATAAAAACGATAAAAAATAGATGACACCACCAATTTATCACTTCGGGGTAATAATATTTATACCACATTGTTGTACTTCTCCTCCGGATCTTCAGCGCCACTCCAGAACACCCAGAACATTGATGAGGGAAATTGATATTCCAGAAACAATTCATATTATATTTGGTGAATTGAAATATCACGACATTTTTTATCAACCCCTCACACTGCTCTCTTATCTACTCACATCGAGCCTAGCACGAAAACACATCCCTAAAGAATGTGAAATAACACAATATAGCACAAATGACAACCACTAAATCAATTGAACATTCCTATTTTATAACATTTTTCAAATAAACAACATTTGAGGGTAAATTCCTCCGCATATTTCATTCGATACCCACATCATCCACACTTAAGTCACCCAAAAGTCTTCCCTCTGCTCGATGTGTGTTTAGAGAGCCATGCAGTTCTTCAAGAGGTGTTTTATGTCCCTGCATAATTTTATGATGTACATTTAATCTTTAACGGTCATTTATCTCATGTAAAAATGTGATTTTTGTGATAATGTTGTGGGGGAGGTTTTAAAGAAGCGACGGGGTATTTTCGATTTTGATTTATGAGTGAGTTTCCATTTGAAACAGGTCGACAGTTTATGCACGTGTAGATTCTTCACTCAGACTGAATATTGCGCCATGATTCTGATAACTTCCCGTGATAATGTATAGTGGCATTACCGTCTGTTGGATATGATGTTGAACTCTATCCACAAAGATCTGGAATTGCTTGGCCATAATAGTCTGGCGATGTGGAAGGCAAATAGACCAGGGGCCATCGAAGGGGCGAATAATGTGAGGTGACTGCGCCCGAGGGAGCAACCCGTTCATATTTGTAGTGTGCACCAAAAATAGCAATTAAGGGTGGTTAATGTGATAAAATTAAATAGCAACTCGGGCTTCCAGGGAACATTTAAAACCTCCCATGATTCTCTGCATATGACACCCCTTTGAGCGGCGTCACACACGAAATCAACCCCCCAAGAAGGGCGCTCCTTGAGAAAATCTCCCACAAATGCCAATATAACACTTTTCCAGATTTATAAAGAGACGCACAGTCATCGAAAGGGTGGCTCAGAGGCAATATTCTCTAGCAAGAGGCCAACCTTAATAAATATGTCGCTCGGCTGTAATTTGTGTGCTTCTTTGGGTGGTTTCAGCGTTAAAACAATCCCAAACCCTCCGTGATATTTTATGTGTATTTTGTCGTGGTTTACATATTTATGTGCCACCCCCTTTTTCACTTGAGAGGCGCGCCGCATATGGGAAATTCTGCAAACCCCGAAGCCACACTTGTGAGCTAATTTCACAAAATTAAACATCTTCACATGTAAACCCGAGACGATGAATTAAGATGTGAACAATAGGGGTGGATTTTTGATATTGCTCGAGTGGCGAGAAAGTATTTACATAAATCTCACTGAAGAATGCAATAATTCACATGACTAAAGACCTTCCCTCGTGTGGAAAATTTCACAGACTATGCCTTGGAAAAGCCGGCGGATCATTTGTGATCATCAAGGGCGCAAATCGTGACAGTG